TGGTGGTGCTCACTTGTAGTCCCAGCTACTCAGGAGGCTGAGACGGAAGGATCCCCTGAGCCCAGGAGGTCAGTTGAGGATGCAGTGATCTATGATTGTGCCACTGCACTCCAGTCTGGATAACAGAATGAGACCCCAACTCAAAAAAATAAAAAATAAGGAAACAGAGGAGAAAAGAAGTAGGGAAAGGAAAGAATACAAGGCTACTACAAAAAAAAAAAAAAAAAGGAAGCAGAAGGGTGGAGGTAACCCACAGCAAGTTAGAACATATCCAGCCCCACACAAGTCAACCAGAGGTGGGCCGACATGCGATAGTGCCATGTGCAAAGAACCTAAATATTTGCCGTGGCGAGTGACTGGTGGGTGATGTGTTGGTCTCTCACTCATGCTGGTCTAGAATTCTGAAGCTAATTTTTCCACAAGCCCAGATTTACCTCCAGGATCACCCCATCTCCCAGGATTGCCCATGTAAACATTCTCATTTTCAGCTGACTTTGAAATCAGAAGAGGAGGGCGGACAGGGGTAAGCTTCCAACTTGGGGTGCCTCCAATGTGGAGCCCTGGCAATTATGAGGCAGTGAGGGGGGCCAAAGGGACTCCAGTCATTTGATTAAACAAATGAATTTTGGTTATAAACAACCATCTGTTGAGGTTGGCTAAAGAAATGAGAGTTGGCAGTTCTAGGGCTTGCTGAGTATGGACAAAATGAATTAAAATAAGTTTATTAGTTAAAATACATCATATATGAAGACTTAGAAAAGAAGAAATCTATTTCAAATGAGGTTAGAAGTCAATACCCACAATATACATAACTCCACTAGAAAAAAGTGACTGAGGGCTTGGATTTCATAAGGCATGCAATTTTTTTTCTCGACTTGCTCTTTACCCAATAGTGAATAGACTTAAAAATAACCAAAATGGCCGGGCTCGGTGGCTCAGCCTGTAATACCGCACCTTTGGGAGGCTGAGGTGAGTGGATTGCCTGAGCCCGTGGGTTTGAGACCCGCCTGGGCAGCGAGACCTCATCTCTACAATAAATCAAAAAATCAGCTGGGCGTGGTAGTGCATGCCTGTAATTCTGGCTACTTGGAAGGCTGAGGCGGAAGGATCGCTGGAGCCCAGCAGGCGAGGCTGCGGTGGCCAGGAGCGGCCACTGCACTCCAGTCTGGGCGATAGAGTGAGACTCCAACTCAAAAAAAAAAAAAAAAATCAAAATGCAGATAAACCGAGGCTGGACATGGTGGCTCATGCCTGTAATTTCAGCATTTTGAGAGGCCTAGGCAAGAGGATTGCTTGAGCCCAGGAATTTGAGAGCAGCCTAGGCAACATAACAAGCCCTTGTCTCTAAAAAAACAAAAAAACCCTCAAAAAACTCAAATTAGCCGGGCACAGTGGCACCTGCCTGTTGTCCCAGCTACTTGAGAGGCTGAGGTGGAAGGATCACCTGAGCCCAGGAAGTTGACGTTGCAGTGAGCTGTGATCATGTCACTGCACTCTAGCCTGGGTGACAGAGTGAGACCTTGACTTAAAAATAGAAAGAAAAAAAAGATGCAGATAAACTTCATGGTGAAAAATAGCCGTGCTCTGTGTGCTGCTAGCATGCCTCAAGTTGCAACGCCTCTTCCTTTCTTCTGATTTCCACATCTGTCTACTTCTGCCTCTGAGTAGTACTCCAAGGTGATCTGAGCTCTCAGCAGTATTCTCTAAGTATCAAGGTTTGGGATTTATGGAGGAAACCAATCCTCACTTATCCTAGAAACATCTTTCCTCTTCAGTCCCTAGACTTGAGAAAGAAGTGTCGTGTAACTTTGGAATCAGGTAGACGTGAGTTGGAATACTGGTTCCAGCACCTACAAACTGTCTTAAATTCAGAAGATTACGTAAACTTCAGTTCTGGAGGCAAAATGTATGGTGAGATTGACACATAGTAAGGACTCAGAAAAGGGTGGTGTTTGTGTTTTGATTCAACTCAGAATCTTGCTTTGAAAAATTAATAGCCATGTAAATACCACATGCTGCGGATACTATGTCTTCAGTTTCCTGCTGTGCATTTTGTCTGTCACATTTCATATAAACTGGAGTAACTTGGTCACATGGCTCTAGGCTAGACTATTGATGTTTCAATACTAACATACTACTTTTAAATGAGCACTAGTAAACATAACTGACAATTTTAATAAGTGCCTTTTCATTAGCTTAAGAAGCCTTTTTAAAAAAAATAAAATTTAATTTTCTTTTTCTTTTTTTTTTTTGATACAGGGTTTCACTCTGTCGCCCAGGCTGAAGTGCAGTGGCATGAGCAGGGCTCACCACAGTCTTGAACTTCTGAGTTCAGGAAATCCTTCCACCTCAGCCTCCTGAATAGCTGGGACTCTAGGTGCATGCCACCATACTCGGCTAATTAAAACAAAATTTTTTTTATGGAGATGAGGTCTCACTATTTTGCCCAGGCTGGCCTCAAACTCCCAGGCTCAAGCAATACTTCTGCCTCAGTCTCCCAAAGTGCTGGGATTACAGGTGTGAGCATGGTGCCTAATGTTCCCATTATTTTTTACCATTATGAAAGGGTGAAACTAAGTAACCATCAATGTCTATTTCTGCAAAAAGAAAAATCACGATTTTCTATGATCTCCTTAATCTTGACTCTACTGTGGAGTTACTTTGTGAAAGCCCAATCCAACAGGTAACTTTCACAGTCTAGAATTTTATGTTAAAAACATTAAAACTACAAGGATGGTAACAATCGTTCTCTTCTTTCTCCTCTGTTCATGCCACTGGGGCCACCTGTTCTTTCTACCCCTCCAAGGTGTAATTTGGATTGATCTGTCTCACTTCAACTACTCTGGTCTACCCCGATCTCACTGTTCTCTAGCACTGATTAACTGAATTTACAGTCAAATGCTAAGCTGCATGATATTCATTATTACTATTTTTGAGGCAGGGATCTATTGTTCAGGAAATGATAGCACACTACCTCAAACTCCTGGGCTCAAGTGATCCTTGTGTCTCTCAAGCAGCTGGGACTACAGATGTGCTTCACCATGCCCTTCCTTTTTCCTTTCAGTTTTTCGTAGAAAGGAAGTCTTGCACTGTTGCCCAGGCTGGTCTCAAACTCTTGGCCTCAAGTCTCAGCCTGCTGGGACTACAGGCCTGAGCCACTATGCCTGATCCAACATTAATTTTAAAGTGTTTAAATCTTACTTCCCAATTTGGTTGAAAGCAACTGGTGACCAAGGTTCAGGCCTTATTCTTCTGTTATGTCCTTGTGATCCTGGGGACCACAGTAAATGCTTTAAGAAATAAGTATTTGGTTAATTTGTTCCACCTACATATCGATTTCACCTGTGTGGTGGTTTCCTTAAAACATCATCACACTTGTCATCAAATAAGACTGTTACCTAAATAGTGTTACCTAGTGACCAAAAAAATTATGTTCACCATTTCTTCCCCTATGTTAAATGGCAAAAACCAAATAATGAAACCACAAAGATTAAAACAGAAGGGGATGGAGGTAAAAAACAACCACCACTTTTGTGCTAAATGTCTCTTTGGCATTTATTTGTATTTCTTTTCACAAGTAATCCCATCCCTCACTTTCCACCAAGGATGGTAGTCTGTCATGTTTACCATACCCTGGGCTGCCATCTAGCCAGGATGCATCAGTTGGGCCAGCTGTTTCCATTCTGATTTAGTCCCTCTACTGTCCTGCTTGCTAAATATTTTTGCTGTCTCTTCTGACAGTGGAGACACTATCAGGAGAAAAATTAGCAGATTTTTTCTTTTGTAGAGACAAAGTCTATGTTGACCAGGCTGGTTTCAAACTCCTGGGATCAATTGATCCTCCCCTCTCTGCCTGTCAAAGTGCTGGAATTACAGATGTGAGCCACTGTGCTTGGCCCTGGCAGATTCTAAAAACATCCATTCCTCCCGTGAACACAGAATATGGAACACCAGAATTTTCTCTGATACTTCAGTCATGGGGAGGTTAAGAAGGATTTTATGAAAAAGTATTTTAGGGCTGTGCATGGTGGCTCATGCCTATAGTTTCAGCACTTTGGGAGGCCGAGGTGGGAGGATTGCTTGAGCCTAGGAGTTTGAGACCAGTCTGGGAAACACAGCAAGACACTGTCTCTACAAAAAATTAGCCAGGCCAGTGGCATGCACCTGCAGTCCCAGCTACCCAGAAGGCTGAGGCAGAAGAATCTCCTGAGCCCAGGAGGCTGAGGCTGTGGTGAGCCGTGATTGTGCCACTGCACTCCAACCTGGGTGACAGAGTGAGATCCCCCAACTCAAAACAAAACACCAAAAAAGCATTGCAGGATGACTTTTAAGTTTGTAAGTGGTGATGCTATTCTGCTTCACTTCATCTAAAACCTGCTGCTTAGGCATGGTGGCATGAGTCTGTAATTCCAGCTACTCAGAAGGTTGAGGCAGGAGGGTCACTTGAGGCGAGGAGTTCAAGGCTGTAGCATGCTAGGCTGTAGTGTGCTATAGCTGCACCTGTGAATGGCCAGTGTACTCCAGCCTGGGCAGCATAGCGAGTCCACATCACTAAATTACCAAAGCAGAACAAAAAACCTATTGCTTGAATTGCCTGGAAGATTTTTAAAACTTTAGAGTGGGAATCCACTCAGATGTAGTTGGAAGGCAGAGGTTGCTGTGAGTAGATAAAAACTAGATCCAAGGTATAGGAGGAATTTAGAAGCAGAGAATGAACAATTGCAGGTACTAGACTACTTTCAGGCACATCAGTTCAGGTCTTTGGCAGTAATACCACAGGTGTTCAGCTGTCACCCAGAAGGCTCGAATCACTCCCCAGGATTCAGTAGTGCTCTGATCTCATTCCTGACTCTCTCCTCTGTCACCTATTTGTATAATGTAGTCTTAGAACACTACCAAATGAGTTCTTGTCAAGAGTACCATGCTTGGTGGTAAAAGCAGGACATCATTCCTCCTAATTATCCACACATTCATAAGCATTAAAGTAAGGGAAAGATAAATTACTCAACACTGACATTTTATTTTCTGAAGTTTATCATTTTTACAAAACAAAACAGAAAAGCAGGTATCAAAAACAGCAAAGAGTTTATAGAATTTCTGCACCAGTTTTCACATAAATCAGTGATTGTGAAACTGGTGTCCAATGTGAATATTAAACACAGGCTGATTTCCCTCTTGGTCAGGTGGTTTGTTTTGGAGCTACTGAATAATAACTTTTATAAGCACCGGTCATTTTTTTGAGAACCGATTTGGTTTGTCTAACAAAGTAAACAATTTTTTTTGCTTTGTGGCATTAAAAAAAACCCCAAAAAACACTGAGCTAACACACAGAATGTGCATTTGTTTGGATCTGAACCAAATCCACTGAGATACCAATTACCCTGAAGAACACTAAAGACATTTATGAGGCATATGAAATGGTGTCTAATACTAGTTGTATTCCTCATAATGTCTAAGGCAGCTACTGTATTTCTAAAGAAAATGGCATTTCATTCAGAGGCTGCCCAGAGCTTGAATCACATCATAGTTTCCACATCCTTTCCGATCTGTAGTAGTATACCCAAACAGAGCCATATTATTGGAACAAAACTTTGGTGTTCATACCAAACAAGCTCGGATATTTTATAGATACATTTGTATAGAGCAAGACTCCTTGCTCTGAACCCTGGGTGACCACAAAGAAACCAAGAAGCCAGGATTACTAGATGCCGAGAGGAAGAAGTGTCTTTAACCTCACAGCACAGATAACCTGGAGGCAAGCAGAAGCAAAGCTGGAGGCTGTAGTGGTGTTCACCCACCACTTATTCCAGAAACACATTTTGCTCAAATAAGGGAAGTATGGTCCAGTTTTGCAATGTTAATAGCTGCCAGTCTCCCCTTTATAAAAAAATAAAGATCACTTCCTGACTAGCAATAAATTAGGAAACTGGCCTCAAATTCTGATAAAATCTCTCAGTATTTAGCCGGGCTCGGTGGCTCAGCCTGTAATCCTAGTACTTTGGGAGGCTGAGGTGAGTGGATTGCCTGAGCCTGCGGGTTCGAGACCCGCATGGGCAACTTGATGAGACCTCATCCCTACAATAAATCAAAAATTAGCTGGGCATGGTAGTGCACGCCTGTAGTTCCAGCTACTTGGAAGGCTGAGGTGGAAGGATCACCGAAGCCCAGCAGGTAGAGGCTGCAGTGGCTGGGAGTGGCCACTGCACTCCAGTCTGGGTGATAGAGTAAGACTCCAATTCAAAAACAAAAACAAAAACAAAACAAAAAAACTCTCAGTATTAGTTAAAAATATAAAACAAAACAAAAAACCGGCCAACAGGGGTTAAAATTGCACAAGTAAACTTGAGTGTAAATTATACTACATACATACTGGTGTACACATCACTGAAATGGTTTTGGGAGAATGAAACACTCCTGTTGAAACAAAATTTTCTCTATAATATTCCAAGTTTCATGAAAGGAAGACTGATATGTACTTTTCTTCTTTGCAGATACGAAAAAGGAAGCATGAAGGCAAAGCTGAGAGAAGCAGATGCTGCCCACAGGGCGGCGGTGGCATTTGGTTGTTTGGTCTTTGTACCAGTGACTCCCACACCTGAGCCGAGATCCAGCTCTGGCCCAGCTACACTGTCTTCCTTGCAGTCAAGACACGAACGATGGACCCCACTCCTCCAGCAGCAAGTGCCTGAAAACAAACCAAAATGTCAGTGCTGACACAGTCAGAAAGAGCCAATTCTCACATTAGGCAGAACATTTTTCTTAAAGAAGGAATGTGTTTGCTTATAGATTTGGGATTTATTAGTTGATAAAAGCTTCTTGGGCACTCACTATGTACCAGGCACGTTCTTGATCCTGGGGATACAGTAATAAACACAACCCACATGAGCTTGTGTTACGTGGTTTCTACATAATGTTTTAAAAAATCTGCAGCATAATCTTCTTTTCTAAATCAGGTGTTCAAATACAAATCGAGGACATTCTGCATCTCTCATTCTTGCCAGTCAGGAGAAAATTCACACTAGGAGTCAACCATCCTGACTTACTTCCATGCAGTTTAGGTGTTTTTCAGATTTTTTTCTCCCAAAGAAGGTATTATTTAATAGCTAAGAACATAGGAACTTTGACTCTAACTTGAAAAATGTAAAGTAATGATTAAGTATTAGGAATCTGGAGCTTTGGTTTCCTTCTGTTCGAAAACTGTTTACTGAGTATCTTTGCGTACTGAGTACTGTGCAAAATGCTGAGGATACAAAAGTGAAAAAAAATCCAGCATTTTCTGGTCTAATGTGAGGAGACAAATGAAAGTCATGAACAAATGTAGGGAGATGGCGCATTCAGGGAAAGGCTGGCACATTGCTGTAACCCAGGGGAAAGAATGACATGGAAGATGACTTGGAAACCTGGGCTTTATCCTGAAGGTGATTGACAAGGGCAATTTGGAGTTGGGGGGTCTTACTGATGCCCAGGCTGGAGTGCAGTGGCACAATCATGGCTCACTGTAGCCTTGATCTCCTGGGCTTAGGCGATCCTTCTACCTCAGCCTCTTGAGTAGCTGGGGCTAGAGATGCATGCCACCATACCCAGCTTATTTTTTTATGGTGTTGTAGAGACTAGGTCTTACTATGTTACCCAGGTTAGTCTCAAATTCCTGGGCCCAAGCAATCCTCCAGCCTCTGCTCCTCAAAGTGCTAGAATTACAGGCATGAGCCAGCGCGTGTGGCCCAGTCAATTTGGATCTTAAAGAGATCATTCTGGTGGGTGGGTGTACAACAGATTTAAGGAAGATAAAACTGGTGGCTGGGAAACCAGTTAGGAAGCTATAGCAACAGCCTTGGAAAGAGACTGTGAACAGCTGCATCAGAGACATATTTGTGTGGATGGATTTTGGAAGTCTGGCAAAAAATGGTGACTGATGTTAGGAAGGAATAAGGACTTAACTCATGCCTTAGTCTTCCCAGCTACAAAAGAGGGTTAACGGCAAGATTTTCCTCCTAGTATTTTTATGAGGATTACATGAATTAATAAAGTCCTTGGAAAAGTATTTGGAATACAGTAAGTGCTCAATTCACTACTATCCTGAGGCTATCCTGGAACTCAGCAGCCTGGGTTTTCAAGTCAGCTCTTCACGAGTAAATTGAGGATGATAAGGATGTTTCCATAGTCTGTAGGGTTATTGTAATAATTAAATATAAGCAGTACAGTACCTGGCAAAGTATTCCATGAATAGGATGCCATGTAAATTACAAAAGGGAAAACTACAGTTAAGATGGGACAAGAGGCATAAACTGGAGCGATCTTGAGAAAACTGTGAGGAATGGTCACCTTATCCATCAGTGTTAGTTCTTTTTGATCGTGGATGAGGGATAAAGTAATTTGACCAGGGCTAAACAACAAGTTTTGCTACATATTTTTACTTTATGTGTGTGTGTTTTCACACGTACAACAGACACTCAAGTTTCTGTGGTAGTTCTATTGAAATGTTGTTTATATCTGTAGGAGTGTAATGCAAGAGTCGAGTATTAAAGATTACCTTACCAACTCAAAGCTCACAATCCTTCTACTCTTTAATAGATGATGTATCAGAATCTGCGCAACATTGTAAAATACATGCATAAATAGAAAAAAGGACTTAAGAATTCTTGATCCCTACCCATTTCTTTCTTTTTTTTAAATTGTGGTAAAACTTATACCTTTGCCATTTTAACCATCTTTAAATGTGAAATTCCAGTGGCATTAACTGTATTCAATCTAAAACATTCCCACCAACTCAAACAGAAATTCTGTACCAACTAAGGAATGACTTTCTATTCCTTGCAGTCCCTGGTAACCTCTGATGACTTTTTGTCCTTTTGAATTTGCAAATTCTAAATCATTGCATATATATGAATATTTGTCTTTTGGGTTTGGCTCATTTTTCTTGCTATAATGTTTTCAAGGTTCATCCATGTTACAGCATGTGACAGAACTCTATTCCTTTTAATGGCTGAATAATATTCCATTTTATGTATATACCACAGTTTATCTGTCCATCTGTCCGCAGACCCTTGGGTTGGTTTCTACCTTTTGGTCATTATAAAAGAATTTTTGACTTTTACTGATTATTTATTTTGCAAAGTTTTGCTCTAACTTAAAGTTCAAGGTTATGTTTCGTGAATAACAATCATTACTGAATAAATGTTAAGTGTTGTAAGTCAGAATCTAGTAAGACCAAGGCTAGTAAGCATAAATCTGAGCAACCATTTTCATGCATTTTACGTGTAATAACAAATAAGTACAATCCAGTTAAGATGGTTCATTAGGTGAGAGGCTGTCATTGCTATTCTCTACTACCAGGAGCCCGTTATACATGTAACTCCCAACTTACCTTCTCATGCCACTGCAACAACACAGCACTGCTATTGTCAGAGGGGCTCTCAAAGCCTTTATAAATGTACTTCATTAGCAGATCCACACCGTTCTTGTCCAGGGACTGAACTGCCTTTTCAATATCGTTAGCTTTAAAAGAGATGAGCACCTTCAAGACGATGCTGCCTGCCCGGTCCTAGGGGTAAACACATAATAGAACATCTGGATATGTGTGTGTGGGTAGGGTTTACGACTTTGAAAAGGCCTCACTAAGGAGGTGACATTTGAGTAAAGACCTGAAGGAAGTGAAAAGCAAAACCTTGGGGCTATCTGAGGAGTGTTTCTGACAGAGGAAAGAGTAGTGCTAGTAGCGTGCCTTCAATGTGTTCAAGGAATAGAAAGATCCCCAATGTGGCTGGAGTCAAGTGGTGGGGAAACGCAGGGCGGAAGTCAGAGGTCCCGGGAGAGCAGACTGCGTGGCCTGAGGCATTGTAAGGACTTCAGCTTTTACTGAGAGAAGGTCTTCAGAGCAGTGCAGCAATCCAACTCACATACTGATAGGGTCACGTTGGTGTCTCTGTTGAGAATGAGCTGTGAGAGCAGGGAGCAAGGCAGAAGCAGGGAGACCCATTAGGAAGCACGATCAGGCTGAATGTGGCGAGTGTGGCAGCAGCAGAGGTGGTCAAGAATGGACAGGTGCTTGACAAAATTGAAGGTGGAGCTGAGAAGATTTGTTAACAGGTCAACGTGATAATTTTTTTCTTTTGAGCTGGAGTCTCATTCTGTTGCTCAGACTGGAGGGCAGTGGCACATACACGGCCACCACAGCCTTGGTCTGCTGGGTTCAGGCGATTCTTCCACCTCAGCTTTCCAAGTAGCTAGTACTACAGGTGTGCACTATCATGCCTGGCTTATTTTTTTTAAAAATTTATTTATTGTAGAGACGAGGTCTCACCAAGTTGTCCAGGCTGGTCTCAAACCCCTGAGCTCAGGCAATTCTCTCGCCGCAGCCTCCCAAAGTGCTGGGATTAATACAGGTTTGAGCCACCATGTCCGGCAATGTGATAATTTAACAATTTATGAAAACATCTTGATCTTAAAAAGACCAGCCCGGGCAACTTGGCAAGACCTTGTCTCTACAATAAAATAAAAAATAGCTGGGTGTGGTAGCGCGTGTCTGTAGTTCTGGCTACTTGGAAGGCTGAGGTGGAAGGATCACTAGAGCCCAGAAGGTTGACCCTGGGGTGGCCGTGAGCGTGTGTGCCACTGCACTCCAGCCTGGGTGAAGGAGTGAGACTCCAACTCAAAAAAAAAAAAAAAAAAAAAAAAAGAAATCCCAACAAAAAAAGTCATATACAGTTCTACCTTGAATTATCCTTCAAAAATAATACTTTCTTAAAAACTTTCTTTTCTTGGTTGGGCATGGTGGTTCATGCCTATAATCTCAGCACTTAGGGAGGCTGAAGTGGGAGGATCACTTAAGTCCAGGAATTCAAGACTAGCCTAGGCAACATAGTAAGACCTTGTCTCTACAAAAATAAATAAATAAAAAGATAAATTAGTTGAGTGTGGTGGCACCTCTCGGTAGTCCCAGCTACTCGGAAGGCTAAGGTGGAAGGCCTGAGCCTGGGATTTTGAGGCTGCAATAAGCTGTGATCATGCCACTGCATTTCAGCCTCGGTGACAGAGTGAAATCCCTACTCAAAAACAAAACAAACAACAAAACTATAAACAACAACAAAACCCTCTTTTATTATTTTAATGTTCTAAGAAAACTTGAGTTTTACATCTACTGTCGACTATAGATATGAGATACAGTGCTATTAATTTATAATGATCTTTTTTCTTTGGTAAAAGCCAGCTTCAAAAGCAAAGTTATTTTCTCACCCATCCAGCCAAGCAAAGGAACACTTAATTGACCCTTTCAAAAATTTGTTTCTCCATCTATTCAACACAAAGTGATACTTCTGGCATCCCTACTGGTCAGGATTTTACAGAATGTTTCTACCACCTATTGGTGTCGTCAGTTTAAAGACTATGCCATTACCAGATTTAGAAAACTCTCTTTGCATCCAGAGTTATAACCTCCCACATAAAAGCAGAAGGTGGAAAAACTGCAATTTCAATGACGTTCCTTATAAATTTTCAAATTGTTTCAAATTCCAAAGCAATTGTTCCCCTAATAAAAAAATTATGTTGCCTAGGTAATTATGCATTTATTTAAGTTATTACCTACTCCAATTCATTTAAGATGATTCTTGAAGTCCTAGTATGTACAAATAGCTACGGACAGAGGGGTTGATGCTATGGACTTCATTTTAAAAACGTGAATAGGGTCTTAAGAATGAAAGACTGCTGCAGGGAGTGTAATTTGCACAACTGCTCTGAGGGGCAAGGTGGCAATACCACACGTATCAAATGCCTTAAAAATGTACACTCTTCGATGCAGCAATTCACTTCTAGGAATTTATTCAAAGGAAATAGGGGGAAAAATGGTGAAACTAACAACAAAAGGTTATATAGACACTGTAGCTTATCGATCTACAGTCGTTACAAATACTACCAAAATACACTTATTGCTAAGAAGTGCACTTGTGCTGCTATACAGTTGAAAAAGCCGGTCATAAAATTCCATTCTTAAAAAAACAAAGACACGCATTAAAAAACTCTAAGAAGACACTGTATCACCAAAAAGTAGTAACTGTTATCTCTGGGTAGTGAGACTGTGCACAATTATTTTTTATCTCTCCCATATGTCTGAGTCTTCTATAATAAACATTTAGTAATTGTACAATTTAAAAAATCTTTAAAAAGCAATTATGACGTTTATTTTTGTAAAAGTGTTACTTATTCAAGTCTTTGCTGAAATTCAGCCTGAGTGGTCTCCTCTAAATACACACACAGAAATGGTTTCACTTCTACCATGCAGTGTTATCACAACTCTACAGTAGAGGGCTATTTTTTCTTTTTCTTTTTCTTTTTTGAGACAGGGTCTTGCCTAGGCTGGAGTGCAGTGGCCCAATCATGGCTCCCTGCAGCCTCAAACTCCTGGGCTCAAGCTATCTTCTTTGTGCCTCAGCCTGAGTAATTAGGATTACAGGTGTGCTACCATACCCAGCTAATTTTTTTTTTTGAGTTGGGGTTCCACTCTATCCCCCAGGCTAGAGTTCAGTGGCACGATCATGGCTCTCCACAGCCTCAACCACCTGGGTGCAAGCAATCCTTTGGTTTCCGCCTCTCGAGTTGCTCGGACTATAGGCACTTGCTACCATGCCCAGCTAATTTTTTGTAGACATGAGGTCTCCCTATGATGCCCAGGCTGGTCTCAAACTCCTGACCTCAAGCAATCCTCCTGCCTTGACCTCCCAAAGTGCTTGGATTACAGGCATAAGTCACTACACTTGGCCTATTTTTTCACAGAAAATTTTAACCTATTAAACTACATTGCAAGCTCTTCTATGGCAAAGATAGTAAATAGTCAACATATTTATTTTGTGCAACTTTAAAGGCTCTTGGTATGAATAAGATACCAGCAGAGATCACTGTGTTAAAGTCTGCGACTCACCTTCACTGCCTGGCTCTTGGTGTTGATAGGGGGGTTTTTCAGAGCTGCCTGCAGGGCAGCTGTCATGTTTCCTGTGATGGAAGTTAAGGGGTAACAGCAAAGGACGGCCCTCAGGAAAGCATTATAACCACCGGTTCAGAAGACTTTATGCATAAAAATGAAAATGACTACAGTCACTCTGTTCAGTATTGGAAAGTCTATGTGTTGGTTTCCAGTGTATCACTCAAAAGTAAAATGCCAAAAGCAAAATAGAACATTAGACATTCTTTTCAATAAAGCAAAGATTGTTTCACCCTTGGTTCTAACTATCAAACGAATGCCTTGATCATCTTTTACTTTCCAGTAAGACACATACGCAAACCTTATCTAGGGTGGCAGAAACCTAGAGATAAACATCAGAATTATTTGTCCCCCAAATTAAATCACCTGTCATCAACCAAAATATGTATTTTTATGTGATTCTAGTTGGAAAAATAAAGATTAAACTTTTACTAAAACTACATTCTATATCAAGGGGAAATGCTGGTAGATTACTCTAGTAAACTGAATGAAATACATTGGCAATCTCTCAATATTGATGAAAAGAGGTATTACAGAAGATGTAATAATTCATATGACCCTGAGGTGGCAGTTTGATTTTTTGTTTTAGACATTTTATATTTCATAAAGGTTACTCGAACTATTTAGACCATACCTATGAAATTCAGACCCTCTTTTAAAGCACCAGTGAGTTAGCAAGCATGAGAAGCGGAAGGCCAATCGACTGCCAGAACATACTGTCATTCCCCTAAAAGGAAAACCTCACACTTTGCTTGTTCCTCCAACTCTAGTAACCCTCCAGGGCTGTCTCTCCCAGCTCCCGCAAAGGCCAGCAGACTCAGTACCTTTATCTGTACAGATGAACTGACTAAAAAGTCGGCCCATTGATATGGATACAGCAGTACCATCTAAGAATCATCGCAAATTACTCAAATAAATGGGGGTTTCATAAAACACCATCCACCCATCACAAAAAATGCTCACCACTATCTTCTAAAGAAAAAGTCTCACAACAAAAAAGTCGCCCAGGTTGGTTAGAAGCTGTTATTTTTAAGGCTGAAGGACTTCTAGAGGAGCGTGCCTTTTGTGGACTGGTCACTTTCTAAGACCCCAAACACCTACTAAGTATTCAGATAATGCCAAATGGTAACAATTGACTGTGAAAGTTGTGGCAATTAAGGGGACATCTACACATTGGTAAATGTTTGATACTGTATTTAGGTGCCTTTAAGACAAGACAGAGTTGTCACCAAATACTTTCACTCATATATTCTGCCATGATACTTTAATAGGACACTGGTGAGGAAAGAGCCTTCCCTCTGAATACACCCAAGAATTAGAAATGCATAAAAATTCAGTAATTGAGATTTTCTAGAACCACAGCTTCAGGCTTTTGCAACATCTACATTTTTCTAAAAAAGATGTGATGCAAATGCGACTTCAGAGTTATGAATAATTCAAATATGCAAAACCAAAAACCAGGAACTGACGGCCATATTTCAACTGAAATGGAAACAATTTTGGGATTACAAGAATGATTCTGCTTTATACAAATGACTCATCTATTTTATTCACTGGGGCTTATTTTAAACATTTCCAGGGATTCTCCACATGCATTCCCCGTCTTTTTTCTATTGTCCTTTTCTTAGCAGGTAACAGCTTCCTACTTGGGAGTTTTGTGGGTTTTTCTGTATTCACTCCTCTCCCCCGGGTTAACAAATTCTGTGCAATCCAGATTTTGCCAGATCCCTTTCTCTTAACAAAAACACGAAGGCGCCTGGATGGCGAGCACGCAGGGGCCTCAAAGCGCCAACCGCCTCCCCTCGCCCCGGCGAGGAGTAAACTGCCCTGACGCTTCCAATAACAAAATCGCCCAGGAAAGACGCCCCTTCCCCACCACCAGCAATTTCTGGACTTTCTGCGACCCCAGCAAA